ATTGCCCTCTCACTAGGCTCCTGTTACAGAGGCCTCACCTCTTCTCACTGTCACCACACTTGGGGCCAAACCACATCCACCGTAGCCGTGGTCAGCAGAGCTGAGCACACACTTGCCTGGAACTTCACGCCTCCAGACTCCTGGTCCAGGGCAGGTGCACCTGTGTCGGGTGACTGGCACTGAGGGGCCTGGTTCAGGGTGGAATGGCCATAGACTAAAACCGATCAATTCAAAAGATATTTTTAAGTTGATGAATAAAATGTAAATTAAGAATGAACAAATATACAACATTAATAGTAAAAAGGGAACAGGAGCTATGCAAGGTGGTGTGTCTATAGTTTCAGATACTGGGAGTCTAAGACAAGAGTTTAAGGCCAGCCTGGACAACACAGCAGGACTGTATCTCAAAATTAATTCATTAGGGGCTGGGGATTTAGCTCAGCGGCATAAGCGCCTGCCTTGCAAGCAGGCAGTTGTGAGTTCGATCCCTGGTACCGATAAAAAGGAAAAAGACAAAAAAAAATTATAATAAAAAAAAAAAAAACAGATCAATGTTTTTGTGTTTTACTATGCATTATATTATATATGTTATATGCTATATATTATCCCTAAATTAATCTATAAATTCAATGCAACCCTAATGAAACACCCCATCTTGATGTTTAATTGATAAAAATAATCATAACATTCACAGAATAATACCATAGGATAATAGTCAAGAAACTCCAGGGAGGAAAAGCATGTAAAGAAGATGCTAGGTCTCTCGGACACTAAAATGTACCTATCACCAGCTCCAGTGCAGAAATTCAGGCTAGAGGGACAGACAGACAGACATATGCAAACACGTGAGGTCTGTTTCCAGACCCACCCCACTCACATGATGGTGGGTGAAGGGACAGTGCGTGTCCATTGACTCCCTGGGTCGCGGGGTCCATAGTAGAGCTAAGACACCGGGCCCCTCAGTGCCAGTCACCCGACACAGGTGCACCTGCCCTGGACCAGGAGTCTGGAGGCGTGAAGTTCCAGGCAAGTGTGTGCTCAGCTCTGCTGACCACGGCTATGGTGGATGTGGTTTGGCCCCAAGTGTGGTGACAGTGAGAAGAGGTGAGGTCTCTGTGACAGGAGCCTAGTGAGAGGGCAATCAGACCATAGGGTGCTACCCTGCGAGGGGATCATGTTATTCTTGAAGACTCCAGTTAGTTCCTAAAAGAGCAAGATATGATGCTGAGAGCAAGCCTCGGGGGATGAAGATACAGCTCAACGACACAGCGCTTACCTGGCAAGCGCAAGGTCCTGAGTTCAATTCCTGGTACCAAAACAAACAAGAGCAAACCTGAGGCCTGAGTCTTGTCCCTGTCTTGCCATATGACATCCCCGTTCTAATGCCATCCACCATGCTGTAACCAGAAGGCCCTCAGCAGAGGCCACGCTTACTGATTTAACTAGCCTTTTGGGGCTGACTAGGAGGAGCCTGCTGGACATTGCAAATGTACATGTTGATCAGAGTATTAGTCATTTTGGTGGACACAAATATAAAGTGCATCCATGCAAGGTGCACACACCATGCTCTCTGCAAGTCATGCCTTAATGAAAGTAAGAGATTAAACAGGACATCTATAATTTATAGTAAGCAAAAGTTATAAATAAGCATTCTCCAAGAGAAGAAACCATAAGTGATAAATAAGAATGTGAAAAGATGCTCAACTTCACCAATAATGAAGGAAACACCAAGTAAGAACACAAAAGCTGCATTGAGTGTGGTGGCACATGCTTGTGATCCCACCTACTTGGGAGGCTGAGACAGCGGACTGCACCTTTGAGGTCACCCTGGGCCACCTAGTGAGACCTTGCCTCAAAATAAAATGGGCTGGGGATATAGTTTAGGGCAGCCTGGTTTTGATCCCTAGTACTACAGGGAGAAAAGTAAAGTTGGGTATAAATGACAAGTCCTAGAAGTCCACACATAGAATGATACCATTTTGGGTTTTTTTTTTTTTTTTTGTCTTTTTCCTTTTTATCGGTACCGGGGATCAAACTCACGACTGCTTGCTTGCAAGGCAGGCGCTTATGCCGCTGAGCTAAATCCCCAGCCCCCAATGATACCATTTTTATAACACTCCAGATACATCAAACTGAGCTATATGCTGTTCAGAGATATCTACATTCATAGGGAAAAAAATCTATGAAAAGCAAAGGAAACACACAAATCAGGCTGGCAGGCACTTGCAAAGAGGTAGTCAGGTCATTCTTGGCTGGATAGTTCACGTACAGACATTCCTTAGGCAGGAAGATGGTAGGTAGTACTGTACTTTGTGTGTCGTCACACGTTACAGTAAAAAAGATAATACAGGGAATAATTAAGTACCTCAAAGCTTTCTCATTTGGAGACAGGAAAATAAAGAGGAAAGACCGTGGCCAGGTGTTGGTTACTAGGGTACATACAAGTATCTGACATGGCCTAGTTCAATTCCTGTTCACCCCAAGATGAAAGGCCTAGGGGCTAGAGATTTAGCTCAGCGGCATAAGCACCTGCCTTGCAAGCAGGCAGTTGTGAGTTCAATCCCTGGTACCAATAAAAAAGTAAAAAGACCAAAGAAAGGGGGGGGGGACGGGGTAAAAAAAAAAAAAAAGGAAAAAGACCAAAAAAAAAAAAAAGATGAAAGGCCTCCTGCTATGGTTTGTGTCTTATTTCCTCCCAAAAGCTCATGCAGTCATGTTAGAGGGCTTCTAGAGTTTGTGACTGACTCATGGTCCAATATTGGGACTATGGGTGTGAGTACTACACCTACCCCGGGCTGGGTAGCCTCCATACAACCTAAGGGACAGAAATTCTTCTCTCATGCTCCTCTCCTCCCTGTTTTCTTGTTGCTTTTTCTGTCTTCTGCCACCATGAACAGTTGCCCCTCTGCCACCCCACCCTGCCTTGGAGCCAGCTGATTATGGACTGAAACCTCCACAAACTGTGAGCTAGACCTTTCCTTAATTTTGTGCATTGGTATTTTGTCTCAGCAAGAGAAAACCAATGCAAGCTCCAAGGGGTAAAAAAGGAATGGTAAGATCTCCAGTGCTGCCACTGCCGCCCTCATCCCATTTGTGCCCCTCACCCTCCATGTGCTTTCCTTGTCTCCTCACTGACACTGCACTTCGTGGTGTTGTGTGCCCCCTCCCCAGCCCAGAGACAGAGGAAAAGTCAGGTGCAGCCTCCTGCCTTAGCCAAGACTCTGACCCTCTAAGGCCGTACCCCTGGCAGGGGTCTTGAAGCCACTGCCCCATTTCAGCCCACAAATAAGGAAGTGGCATCTGCAGAGCCCTGGGTCACACAGGGTGTCTTCAGGAAAGCTGTGGGAGGAATCCATGGTTCTCTTGTCTCAGTATTTTAATACTGGGCATGGGGTGGGGGGGTGATTAATGAGACTCTAGGGATCTCTGTAGCCCAGCCAGATGCTGGAGGTCCCAGGGGCCAGGTGACTCCAAAGCAAGAGGGGAGGGTGGTATATGTGAGGCGTTGGAGTGTGCCAAATTCTCACCTCTCCCTGCATCTTCCAGAGGGATAGGTTAGAGTGAATGAATAAGAGGCTGCCCCAAATGAATAGGTGGCTGTCCCCAAACAGGATCAACAGAACCCTTCTGCCCAACACACACGCACACACAGAGCTGTAGAGGGGCCAGTCCCTGTGCACCCTGAGGACACACACTCCAGCAGCTGCCTTGTCATCTCCCTTCCAGGTTGGTTCCTTGCCAGCCTTACCCAGCAGGAAAGGCCCCAGGGTCCAGGGCACCCAGCGTCCTAACTAGCCCCTGGAGGGCAGTAAGAACAACATGGGGTGGGGAGATGCTGCCCTCTAGAGTGCTGACAGCCCTCTGGGCCTGACACAGACGGGAGGCACAGACGGGAAGGCATCAGGGTGTATTGAAAGGGGTCTCCACTGAAGGAGGAAGGGCTGCAGGGGCAGGAAAACCAGCAGAGACAACAGCATGGCCTCACACGCCAGCCTGGAGGGGTGGGGTAGCTTTCTTCACCCTCTATTGCAAAGTAGGGAGAGGATCCCAGCCCCCACCTAGTACCCATTTACTCCTTCGCCCAACAGTCAGCCTGATTAGCAACAACAGGGACCTGGTTCTGCACTGGACCCAGACTAGATGAAGCAGCCCTGGGCTCAGGGACCCACAATAGGTGGACAGAGTCATTTAAAATCAGCTGTGAGTCAGGTTCACTGGCATTCATAATCCCAGCTACTGGGGAGGCTCAAGTAGATGGGCCAGTTGAACCCAGGAATTAAGACCAGTCTAGGTGACATAACAACATAGAGATTCCTGTGGTTCAAACCAACAAAACACGTTGTGAAGGGTCCTGAGGGGGACCGGCTTGATTCACCTGGTGGGGAATGGGGTGGTCAAGGAAGATAAGCTAAAACTGCCAGGCAAATGTGGGGTTGGGAGGGCTGTACAAGGACTGGGGTCAATGAGTTAGAAGAGGTTGAGAGGAGATGGCCCTAGTATGGAGAGAGATGGGCTGGGACCTGTTGGGCCTCTGTGAGGGCTGGATCATTCCTGACAGAAAAGGAAACCCTCAACATTGGGGGAGGAGGCATGGAGTTGGAGACGCCATGTGAGGACTGAGTCAGTGAGGAGTCCTGAGGGGTCCACGACCACACTCAGCCTTCTGACCATGAGAAGGGCAGTAGCTTCCACTAGATGTGAAGTCCGCTGCTGATGGGTCTTGGGGTACCTGGACATCTGTAGCCACTGTTCCATATTCCATCAGCTTTGCCTAAATATCAGCCGAAGTCTCAAATAGGTACTCACCAACAACAGAATCCCTGCAGGCAAGCCTGGTTACCCCTGTGCCTGCTGGCATTGATCCTCCAGGGTCTCCTAGAATTCTGGCCAATCTGGGCCCAGCCCTGTTGGGGTTCTCCCGGCCTCCTCCCTTGTTGGATCCCCTGAGGTCTTGGTCGTTCCCACAGGCGTCCCTGGGGCCCTCTCCGCGGCATGTCGCTTGGAGCCCAGTGGTCGCTAGGTTGCAGGCTGGGGCTCCAGGAAAGTCTGGCGCTCGTGGCAGTGGTGGCAGTGGTGCCAGCTGCAGCACAGATGGCGGCAGAGCCCGGGCGTTCGTGGACTCAGGCTCGGAGCGCGTATGGAGCTACTGAGGCGCTGCGGCGTGGCGCGGGACGCCGGCGGGACCCGGGATCGCAGCCCAACGGGCCAGTCCCCGAAGAAGTCCGCGCCCCAGGGCGCCTGGCTCGCCTTCGGGGCCAGCTCCGCGCCGAGGTGGCCGCGAGGGCAGAGGTGCCAAGACTGCTGAGGGTGGTGGAGCGCGCAGGGGCCGGAGCCGGTGCGGCAGTGACCAGCGACAGGAGCGACGCGCGCAGCGGCGGCTCTGTGTGCTCCGTGTGCGGGGAGCCGCGCAGCGGTGCCACTTACCCGGCGGGCGTCCTGGAAGTGAGCGAGCGGCGGCTGCAGGAGGGCCTCGCGGCCGTTCGCGCCGAGCTGGGCGCGGGATTAGAGGCGCTGCGCGCTGAGCTGCGCGCCGAGCTGGACGCCCTCCGCGCGCTGCTCCCACCGCCCCTTCCGTCGCCACCGCCCGCCCGCCGCGAGCCCCGTGCTGTCCCCCGCGTCGCGCCCCGAGGTCCAGCTCTGTTGCGGGCGCTTGGCGCTGTGAACGCCTTGGTCGTACCTTCGAGGCCCGACGCAGACGTCCCAGATGGCCCTACAGAAGGCGGTGCGAACCGAGCCTCAGTCCGGAAGAACCACAAGAAAACCCCCCTGCCACTCGGGGCCCCGCAAGGAGATTGAGAACAGCCACACCGAAGGTAGCTCAGGATGAGGTACGAGAAAAGTCACCGCTAGCCTGAGGGGTTTTGGTGTACCTGATATGGGGCAAATGGAAAGATGTACCCTTCACATGGTTCGAAGCAAGAAGAGTCCCAGATACTGCTAGCTAGTGCTCTGTATTTGGAGGGTGGGAAGCAGAGCTGGGACTGTCCAGGATCAGTCTGCACAGGGAGGATGGCTCTGCACTTGTGACCAGCGCTAGACTTTCAACCGGCTGTAAAGGTTGCACAGCGCCCATTGGTCTTAAGAGTGGGTAAGGATCTGGGCCAGGGATGTCAGCCTCCAGGAAAGCAGCCTGCAGAACCCACAGGTCTGCAGCACGACTTCCCTGCCTCTAGGGAGGTGAATGCAGATTCATTTTTTTTTTCTTTGTCTTTTTTTCATTTTTATCGGTACCGGGGATCGAACTCACGACTGCCTGCTTGAAGGCAGGTACTTATGCCGCTGAGCTAAATTCCCAGCCCCTCAGATTCATTTTCTTTAAGAATGCTAGGGGAAGACAAGCCGTCTGCACACTGCAATAAGGTCACCCACACACTATGCAACAGACTCCGGGGACACATGAGTGGCTGACACTGGGACCTGGGCACAGTATCAGTGAGGACAGTGCCACATCAATATACAATCACATTCCCCACATGGGTCACTTAGGCAGCAGCCTGACTCTGACCAGCTTCACTCACATGAGTCTCTTCCAGTGTCCCTTGGATCAGTTTGTTTTGAACAGTGACACAAAGGACACTTAGGCTTTCACTTAGCCTCCACTACAGACTCTGGCATACAGCACCTCTCTAGAAATTGCTACTCTGCAATTAGACTGTACAGTGTAACTTCCCAGCTTAACTTCCACCAGCGTGTGACTTCACCATGGCCAGTTGTCCCTTCACTAGTTGTCTGTGTCACCTGTACCCAACAACCCAGCCCAGTCTGCAGCAGAGACTGGAACCAACAACTTCTCACCCCTTGAACAGGGGACACTTCAGCTGGAGTGAATAGTGTCCTAGGTTTTAAATAAAATGTGTAATTGTGGGCTACAGGTAACATTTTTAAGATATGCAAGCTTTCTCCTTCCATCTGACCAGGGGTTCAGATATTATATGTAGTAGACTCCAAGAGGGGTCTGGGGTTCTGGAAGAGGATCCTGAGACTATGGTGGTATAGCAGAGAGTTGTTTGGACAGGCACTTGAAGTGGAAGACAGCTCAGCCTAGGCCCCATTCCACCCCCCAGCCACATTAGCCCAAGATTACTCTGTGCATATTTTATTTTATTTTTTATTATTTTATTTTATACAGGCTCTTGCTATGTAGTTCAGACTGGCCTTGAGCTCACTGTGATCCTTCTGCCTCTGCCTCCTAAGTGCTGGAATCACAGGCATGCTGATTGTTTATTATGAGAGAAAAGTACACCTAAGTCCCTGCCAAAGCTACATGCAAAGCCCCAGACCTAGTAGAGTCTGGTGTGCACCAGCTAGGGTGAGGGTGAGGGGTGAGGCCGAAGCACGGATCATGGTTCCAGGGGAGGCAAAGATCCTGCGCCCTTCCAGAGGCTGCTGAGGGCGAAAATTATCAATGAGGAGCCTGAACCTGGCACAAGGTAAGGTCTGGAACTGAGCCACCTGAGAAGGCAAAGATGAGTCAAAATGGGAAGGGTAGGGAAAAGCTAAAATTTTGGGAGACAGGGTAGCCTGGTCCAGGGGCAGAGGTCCCACCTGCACATGCCCAATGGGTATTGCACCCTCAAAGATGGTCCAGAGCACTGTGACCACCTGGTGTGGTCAGTGACCCTGAGTATCGATAGTAATGCAAGAGCCCCGAGGAGCCAGGCAGCAGAGAGGCCAGTGGAAGGTAGATGTCAGATTCACCAAGACCCCTGGTGAAGGGGGAGAGAGATTGGAATCCACATCCTTGTGCCCTCAGCTTAGCTGCAGTCCCACTGCTCCTCACCAGGTAAAGACACATTCTTCAAGACTGACACAATAGCAGAGAAGTTGGAATTGTCTTGGTCCTGCTCCTGGGGAATGTAAGTCCAGTGAGGAGGAATCTTGAGTTGGGAGTCTCGGAAGGTAGCAACTCTGGGAATAGGGGACAGATTCCTGTGGAAAGCTCCCAGGAGTGGTAGGGACCTGGGAGATGGCTTTAGGGATGGCCACCCTTACTAAACCCCAAGATCCAGTACTTCCCAATGGTTTCATTCTCCCCCCAAAATCCTTCAAATTTGTAGGAGCCCAAACCACACCTCACTACCCCATAGATTCCAAAGGCTCATTCCGCCCCCTTCACACATCATAGGATCCCCTTTCTAGAAGTCACAGGGATCACTCAGCCCCTCTCACCGCCAGCAGCACAGCGAGCACTGCAAGGCTATCAGGGTGACATCGTGTCTCCTTCATGCTCTAGTACTTTGTGCTCATGTGGACCACATGCATCTGGGGAGGTACAGACATCAGGAGGTGCCTGCTGCTCTATCCCCACACTCCCACATTCATGGTGCCCTCCCCCGCCCCCCCCCCACGGGCTGGAGCCCACCTCCATGGAGCTCTGCTGCCATCCAGGCTGTGCTCAGAGCCTCTGCATCCTGGGCTCCCCCAGTGGAAGTGCAACTGCAGTGCTCGGTAGGCAGGTGATGGCAACCCAGCCCCCCAGATCTTCAGGTGGCTCTGTGGACAAGTGTCCACATGCAGTAACACTGGGGGGTGAGGGGATACATGACAGTCCCCCACCCCTGCAAATGCACCACAGCCAGCACAGCAGGGAGAGCGCAGCCCTCCTGTGGTGGTCTGGCCCCAGCTGTGTGTGTGGTTGTGGCTATTCTCTAGCCTCCCTGATCCTGGGGACATCCTGACTTCTGGGTATGTTTTGACTTTTTGTCCTGCCACAAGGGCCACAGCTGGTTACTATTTGTAAGGAGGGTCCTGACTCCTATGGATGGCATCTTGGCCACTGTGTGTGGTTCTTCTATTTTGTGGCAATTTTGACTCCTATTAAGTGGGGCAAGATGGGGGACTCCCATTCTTGTATATAGCTTATTAGCCCATCTGTGGGTGTTGTTTTTGTAGGGCTGGAGGTAGAACGCAGGGCCTTATGCATTCTCAGCAAGTGCTATAGCACTGAGCTATGCCCCCAGCCCTGTGAGCAATTCTTGACCTTCATGTGGTATTTCAGCTGTGTGTGTGTGTGTGTGTGTGAGAGAGAGAGAGAGAGAGAGAGAGAGAGAGAGAGAGAGAGAGAGAGAGAGGGAAAGGGAGAGAGAGAGAGAGAGAGAGAGAGAGAGAGAGAGAGAGAGAGTCCTGATGCCTGTGTGCCTATAGGAATTCTCATCCCTTTTGTGGAGTTCCTGCCTTCATCTGTGAAGAGTCTGACCCTAGGGTGCTGACCTGTATGGCCATCATTCTAGAGGGTTCATGGGCCTGGAGGTGCTGAATCATAGCCTTAAAAGATGAAGGGCCCAAGAGTGGAGTCCAGCTGGACCAGGCAGAAGTCAATGTTGATGGGGGACTGGGTGGGGCCCCCACAGGCAGGTGATAGCTCCTTCCAGTGAGTGGGTCCTGAGGGAACAAAGTCTGGGGTCTCTAAGGAAGGGGTCAAGAAAGCATCTTAGGGGTACACAGAGGACCCCACACACCAGGGAATAGCCTAGCCTCAGGAAACTACTTCTTCCCTCCACACACTTGAACAGGCCACAGGCTCCATGCCTTGCTCTTAGCACCTGACCTAGCCACCAAGTCTGGGGCAGGCTGCCCTACAGGGAGAGCAAGTGGAAACCCAAGTGGAGAACTCCACCCATGCAAGCATTAACAGGCCCACAGACCCAGATAGGAGCAGGACCCCAGCAGCCCCGGATACAGATTCAGGACAGTCACAGCCATGCTGTCTGGTCCCCAGAAAGTCACTTGGGCACAAGAACATAGGAGCCTGCAGTGTGCAGTCTGCCTCTTGGCCATGTTTGCACCCCTCCGGTGGCTCCAGAATGGGCCAGTCCCACACAGCCCCAACTGACACAGTGTCCTCTCCACACATTGGGTCCTGGGAGTCATAGCACCAGGCACCTGCAGACAGTGGGCAGGGACTGAAGTGAGACCAACATTTTCCAAGCCCCAACTGAGCAGCATCCACGAATGGGGAGTGTGGCTTAGGCCAGAAGAAGCCAGTGTAGAGCCTGCTCATCTTTCACCCCAACCACAGTATCTCCTCCTTCCAGACTCCCACCTTCTACCAGTGGCCTGACCGTAGTGGTGGTGGAAATCGGAAACCAGGGGAATTGGGTCAAGAACAGAAAGGTAGAGTCCTAGCACTCACCCTCCAAGTCCGCCTGCACCACCAGTTGCATCACAAAGAGGAGCATGCAGCCCAGGGTCCTCATGGCACAGCCACAGCTTCCACTTTGGAGAACTAGGAAGCGGTTGAAGAGATAGGAGTGAGGCTGCTATATATTTATTAGTAGGATGGGCTGGGGGCGTGGCCAAGCCCTCCAGTCTTGGACCAGGTCACCTCCGAGTGGTCTAGAGGAGGGGGCGGTGCTAGGACGAGGCGCCAAAAGGACAGGCCCCAACCCACCAGTCTCCGCCCTTAGTCCCAGGGTTGCGGCTGTGTACAGCATCTTGCATTAATGGGGGAGCGGGGGGAGGCCCTTGCCCTATTATGCCCATTTACAGTACAGGAAATGGAGTCTGGGGACCAGAAAAAAACATGCCAAATCCACCATCAGGGGATAAGAGCACAAACATCTTGGAATCCCAGTGCCACTGACTTGGAGGGCATGATTTAAGGGGCGTGGGAAGATATCTTTTGCCCCACTACCAGTGTAGGATTACCTTTCCTGACCCCAAAACACTATTTCCTGACACCAGTGCTCCCGGAGAGGTTGCTGCCCTCCCTGTCGGCCGTGCCCAGCTCTGGTGGAGATTCGGGGGTAATACAGTTGCTTCTAGGAAGCAGGCGGGAGATGCTCAGCTCCCAGAACACAAGGGTGCGGTATGAGGTACGTTCAGGATGCCTGTCAGCCGCCCCAGGTTCTTCCCACTTTAGGGGGCCAGGAGCTGTGCACAGTGCTAATGGAGACCCGGGGCCCCACAGGCTGTTGGGGAGTTAAGCTAGAAAACTCTTGGGCGTTGTCAGAGAGCCCTCGAGTCCCTGAATAATGAGCTTGGAATTTATTGCATAGACAACTGTAGAACAAAAGAGGCAGTAGTGCTTGGGGTCCATCCCTGGTTTCTCCGGATGGTCCAACTCAAATTACTCTCATCCAAGTGGTTTCAGGAACGTCATCAGCTACACCACCACTCCTCACCCCCTACCCCTCACACAATTCCTCCACCCACGCAGGCTGGGGCACTGTCATTGTTGGGAGTCTAGTTACTACCTGTCAAGCCACACCAGCCCCTGCTCCAGTACTTACATCTTCAGCCTGCACATGAAAAGGCACCAGTCAATTTTACAGATGAGAACAGTCCCCCAGAGAGCTCGGCCCCTTACATTCAATTCATACTCACGAGGTGGAAGCAAGTTCCAACCCAGCCCTCTCTGGTTATGTGAGGTAGTGATCCTCCTTCCTTCTGAGAGCTAGAGATTATCTAGCTGGGCTTCAGGACAGGTCTCAAGAAACCCGAGGGGCCAGAACTGCTTTAGGTGGACTGCAAGAGCCCAAGTTCCAGGCCCTCCCTTGTGGCTGCCTCACCCCAGCTCTCCATTAGGGCAGCCAGCTTGCCACACAGGTAGAAGGTGGCTCTACAGTTGACACGCATGCCATACAAGCTGCCATCATGCTCCGAGGTAGCAGCCAATGTGCAATGCAGTAGGCTTTAAGTGCCACGGGATGGCAACCCCTTGCTGCACAGCTCCGCTCCCTCTGGTCCTCTGCCATGGAGCACTGGGGCCTGGGAGCCACCTTAAGGGCTGTCCTGTGGGAAGGCAGGTGTGCCAGCCATTCCCACCTGAACCTGTGGCAGGGGTGGGATGGGGTGGAGGGAGGCACCAAGAACTGACCATGTCTCTTCCAGAACACAAGTTTATTTGGCATTTGGATGAAATGATTCTCACAGCATCTTAAGAAAAGGATTAGTGCCAACCAGACGAAAAGTACACCCAAACTAAAACCCTTAGTGAAAGGAAAAGTAAAAACAGGCATTGAGACAATGTACAGTATCAAATTCCACCTCCACAAGGCAGGTCACCTGGCCTCAGAGTGCCAAGGCAGCCCTGGGGGAGGAGTTCCTCCCAGGAGCTAGACGGTCCCTTTGGGTCCTAGAATGTGGGGTGAGCAGGGGCACATCTCCCATAGGAACACATCTCAGCAACACCAGCTTCAAGACTCCTCTTTATAAGACCTCAGAGGACAACCAGATCGCACGGAGGTGGCAGAGGACAGGTAAGAACAGATGGGAAGATCCCAGCTCTCACCTCCCTGGCAGCTGCCTCCAGCACAGCACAGCTCCTGGAGCCACAGCAGGTGGGGGTCTGAGCAGCCTGCACACAGGCCTTCTGCCAGCCTCACAATGGCAATGGGCTGGGCATCTGGTGCCAGACCTCGATATTCTAATGTTTTTCCAGCTGAAAAGACCCACTGGCAACCCCGAGTGAATATTCTTACCAGTCCTGAAGCAAGCACACCACTACAGTCCCTACAACCCACTTTGGGTCACTCTCTTCCTTACTGCCCCCCTAACCTGCTGAGTTAACAGTCCTTAGGTCCCCAGAACAAGCTCCTCAGCCCCCCACACACTGTGCCAAATGCCCTGCCTGAGGCCTGGGAAGGCCCTTTCAGTTGCTGGAGGGGAGTCCCTGTGGGTCTTTGCTGGAGTGGTCCTGAAAACCCTCATGGGTCTTCCACAACCAGCACAGAGGCTGGATTTGTCTTCTGGTGGATATGAGGGCCTTGTGACCATAATGTCCTAAGCAGCAGCCCTTTGGTAAGGGAAGCATCAACTACAGCATGTGGCTCCTGTGGGCCGAGCCCAGGGACAGGCTTTTTAATGACAAAAACATACCTCCAGTCAACTCTTGGTCATTAGTTCTTGGCTGAGCAACAAGATCCTTTTACAAAGAGCCTATAACTGGGTTGAGCTCTGCAGAACCAAATGTGTCAATGACTCCTCCCCATTGATTTTCCTTAGTGGGGTAAGGCTCTTCCATGCAAGGACTATGGGCTAAGGGCAGGCTCTTAGGCACTGTTCATCCTCGCACAGCCCATGACCAAGAAATGTCAGACCTGGGGCAGCAGAGCCCCACCCCACTCTGAGTTCCTATGAAACTGCAAACATTTGGCCACATACAGATATGCACAGACAGACAGACACAGACACACACAAACACATATACAAAGGTCTAGACAGACAGATACACACACACACACACACACACACACACACACACACACACACACGATCCAGACATTCAACATAGAAAAGATATGGATGTGCTAAAAATCGCACAGAACCCGCTTCATCTCCAAACCTCAGAAATGGTAAAGGCCCGTGTCAGGAGACAAGACCACTGTCCCTGTCAGGCCTCAGGGACCCTCAAGCAAAAGGCTCCCAAGCACCCAAGGCTACTGAGGGAAGGAAGCGTGCATGCAGCCACCAGGTACTGGGCTCTAGTGGTGGCAGTGGTGCAAGAAGTGAACTTCAGGAGACGAACACAGCCTGGGATGTTCGGTTCAACCACCCCTCTCCTGAAGGAAACAACCCTTTATGGCACAAAGGTGGGATGGGGCACCAGACCCAGGGGCCATTCAATAGGAGGTGGGGAAAGGTACCAGTTTAGTCCCACATTTCAGTGGAGGTCCAGAGCCTACAAGTGGGAGAGCCATGTACAACTATGTTGGGAGAGATGGGAGGGCTGGGCTCTGTGAAAGATAAAAGTTTTCAACCTTTTCAGGGCCTTAGTCTTTGACATTCACAGTTGGACCTGGAGTGCCCACTCCCATAACAGCCAATGCAGCACATCCAAGGCTGTCTCCCTGGGAGCATACCCACTGCCTCAACAGTGCTGCCTGTGCACAGGTGGCACCAGCCTCTCGCCCCGGCTTTCTGTTCCCATAGTGATTGCTTTTCCCTCCTCCTGAAACTGTGTGGTGTGGACACATACCATCATTCTTCTGCCATTTAAAAAAAGACACTGACCCAAAGCTACACATGTCTGTGAAGCCCTCAAGGAAACTTGGTGCGGGTGTTTGCCCCTTGGTGAGAGGCAGCTGCGGTCTCTATATACACGCACACCAGCTGGTGGGTGTGCAGCAGTGGAGCAGGGTCCAGGTTGCAGCTGGGCCCCTTCAAGTGTCCCACAGGGACTAGTGTCTTCTCGACAGCAAACAGGTACTCTCAGCCCAATGGAGTGATGGGCTGGGCGGTCTATACCACAGTATTCAGGGAGCCACGACTGGGGCGGCCACCTCCTGGTGGTGCCTCTGCGGCTGGGATGTTCCCACTCTGGGTAGGATCAGGGGGCACAAGCAGGACACTGCTGCTGTCTGCAGAGTCTTCCAGGTCTGCCAGGGAGGCCCCTGAAGTGGGCAGAGGCTGTTCCAGGCACTGAGGCAATGCACCTTCACTGCAACCATCCCCAGGGTTTGGTGGGCTAGCCTCTGCAGGATCAAAGGCATCGTCATCTGCAGAAGAAAGGGTGTCAGAGGGTGAGTGAGAGTCTGGCACAGAGAATGCAGCAGGGCTGGATGGGCTGGGGGACAATTCTGCCTAAATACTCCTACCACTTTTGCGTGGTAAGCATGGCCCAGTGGCCCATCCTGGACCTCAGATTCTGGGGAGGGGCTCTCTCTTTATTATATACAGCACCCACCGTGGTCTGCTTCTTTCCAGGTTGGTATCTGGTTTGTGCTAGGTGAGGGCATGTCTGAACAAAGCAGACGAGGCTCTGTTCAGCCACTGTGAAGTAAAAAGGCAAGATGCAGCAACAGTGACCAGAACAGAGGCCAAAGGGAAACCACCTGAGACTCAGCAAGAAGATAGCAGCATGGGATGCCAGGCAGTTACTGTGCCCTGCTGGGTAGAAAAACATTCAGGGCTGCAGAGGGAACACGGCAGGGATAGGATAGGAGACTGGATCAGAGTAGGCAACGTGGGTATCTGATGAATGCACCAAGAAGCCTGGAAGAGTCAGTTCTTCCCTTCACCAGTGACTTCTTACTACATTGGGCAGCTTCTACAAGCAGGTGGCAAGAGCTGCCTGGAACATGACCCTCACCTGGCCAAATCACCACAGCCTCCCAACCTAAGTCTGAAATAGCCTTGTAGAAAGACTATTCCACCCTGGTCCCCCTGTGACAATCTGGGCCCTAGGGACAGGGCTCAGGTCAACTCTACTGCTCCCCAAATCATGCAGCAGGGCCGGGCTCAGTAGGCTGAGTCTATTGAATGTGAGCTCGCAAGGAGCTGGCTGCTCTGGGATGGTACTGCCCACAAGGCTACTGCACGAGTGTGTTAGAGTATACGGCTCAAGAAAAAGATGGGATGTGACTCAAGCATCTGGTTTACAACCAACAACAAGTACTTTCTACCCACCTCCCACAGCTGCTTCCTGTTATGTCAGGACAGAGTTTCTCAGCCCACCACATGTGTACATGAGTCTTTGTAGCCAAGTGACTGGCTCCTGATTCTGAGTCATGGCCAGTCCTGTTCCAAGACCACCAATGCCTGGTTTCCCATCCCTTCATAGAGCCAGATCAACCTGGCCCCAACAGCTGCTCAGGAGGGAAGTAGAGGGGATGGAGGAGGAGGAAGATCTCAGATCTCCCCAGGATTCTTGGCACCGATATGGACAGAAGAGGCAATCAGGACAGGTGAGGAAGCCCCTTTTGTAAGGGCGATCCTAGGAAGAACCCTAAAGCAAAAGCCAAAAAGCAGCCCAGAAAAAAGTAGGAGGTCAAGGTCCCCCAACCCAAGGAAGACCTGTGGTCTCACAACTGCATCTCCCCTTCTGCTGGGGCGGGCAGGTACCTGCAGGATCGTAGAACACACTGTCCGGGTTGATGGAGGCCTCATAGGGTGGTGGTGGGTCATCAGGCTGGTCGATATCTGGGTACTTGTAAGCTGTGTAGGGAGGCGGAGGGTCGTGGAAGTGGAAAGTCCCACCTTCCCCATCATCAGAAAGATGGAGTGGGGTGAGGCCTGTGCCGAACCTGTCTGGACCATAATCAAAACCAGGGATCCTCCGGCCAAGGTTGAAGTGGTGCACTGGGCCGTCGAAAGGGAGAAACAAGCAGAGGTGTGTCACCTGAGGCAGGCAGCTTGGTTCCTGAGCCCTCTTCCCAAAGTTGGGCCTACCATTTCAAGTACTACACACACCTGTAGCAGGCTGCCCACTTGCTGGCCACATCTAACCTATCACACAAGAACTCTAAACCTGAATCTCTCGCCCTCCAGACCCCTCTACCAGTGTCCCCCCTCAAATCCATAGGCAACTTGCACTTTGTCTGACTACTTGTACTGCCACACTCTCCACCTTTAATGTGTTTCTGTGCCTAACCCACAGGGGCCTTCAGACTCTGCTCACTCTGAAGCTTGGTGAGCATTAAGGACAGTCGGGGTGAACACTCCCACTTATGGACAGAATACCAGCCACATGAGGCCTTCAAACCCAACCTGGATGCCCTGGGAGTACTTGTAACACCTAGAAAGATACCTTCCAGTTGCTACCATCTGGCTCCAATCCTTGCTATACCAGGACAAGCCTTCTAGTTGAACCTGGTATACTACCAAGGAACACAACTCAAAACAAGGGGAGACCTAGAGATCTGAGACGGAGGAAACCATGGCCCTCAGTGGATACTCACAGTTTGCTCCAATCAGGGACTCAATGCGTTCTCGACGCCTCTGGCGAAGCCGGTGGACCATGAAAAGCAGCAGCGAGAGGATGAGGAAGGATGAGATGCAGCTGACCACCAATCGCATACCACTGGCCATGGAGTCAAACAGGTTGTTGCCATCTGTGAGGTGGGGAGGAATGAAACCCACCACTCATAAAAGGAGCTTGTAAGGTGGGGGATGCAGCTCAGTTAGCAGAGCATCTGCCTGACATAAGTGAGGTCTTAAGTTCCACCCCAGACAGAACAGTGTCAGAGAGTACCATTGTACTTGATAATCTGAGGACAGAAGGCCAAATGTAACCACTCAAAATCAGGACTAATGCGACAACACTGGAAGCAGAAAAAGGAGCACGGTTGTTCAGAAGGGCATTTCCACATGAAAGTCCATTTTGAGTACCCTCACCTTGCTCTGGGATGGCACCTGCTCAGAACGGCTCATGCTCACTAGGTAATGAGCCCTTTTCTTTGAGGAGCCACAGGGCTCGATAGCTGCAGTGTGTAATAACATCCCTCCAACTGTCACTGTCCAAGTGAAGACTCTTTCCCAGGAATGGTATTTCTAGAAAGCTGAAAATGAGGAGTTCTGTAGGTCTAGGTATAAGGCTGCACACAAGGTCACTGCCTTTGGCTATTGCTTAATAGAATACAATGTCACTATCCCTGCCTCAGACAGCACCTGAAGCATTTTCAATTATGTCCAGTGGCCCAAAAACACCAATGTGAGATACAGGAAGAAAGGCAAAAGAAGACCCATGGGATGGTGAGGTCAGGGTTAGGGAAGGCTTTCCCAGTCTGTCTGTTCAAGGCCTACAACTTTACAAATGAAGGAGCTGGGTGACCCTCTGAAAACATGCCAGGATGCCCCTCCATGGAGCCCCTGAGATGCTTATAGTGGGCGTGACATCCCTGTGTAGCTTAGCTGCAGACAGCTGCTACGAGGAGGACAGGCTGCAAGAAAGGAGTGTGAAGGCTGGTGAAACCAGTGTGGAGGCACCTATGGCAGAAAGAGAAGGAAATGGTAGTCTGGGACGGGGGGTGGTGACAGATGGAAGTGACAGAACAGTGGGTCTCAGATTTACCATGATTCACTGATGGACTGGGGCCTCCATCAACTGCTGGGGACAAAGCATGTAAATGATGGTCACTTTGGGTATGGTGAGGCGAAGTACTTGAAAACCCCAGTGCTGACCTTGTGTATCACACCCACACAGGTAGAAAAGTGGCCAGGGTGGTCCCAGCTCTACCTGTCTGCTCAGCATGTGTTGGGGAAAGGGGCCTTAAACCAATCTCCACCTGGGCTAAAGACCAAGAAGCAACAGATGCAAACTGCAGCACTTTCCTCAGCCCTTCCAAGGACCCCTCTGCCTCCAAGCCTTCTAACAGTCAACATTTGGTGGTGGTGGTGCAACTGGCATTCAGTAGCATGGGTCAAGGATGCCGCTCAACATCCTAATGGACAGCAACTGGCACACATCTAACAGTATGTCAACAGTGCTATTGTAGTGGACACCGTCTTTCCCTGGCAGACTACAGCCTGACATGGTCAATATGAGTTGCTGATAAGAGAGAAGATATATGTGCTATGTGTAGTACCAACTGAGAAGGGACTTGTATTGGTCAAGTGCCTACATTGTGACTGGCATTTCCATGTGTTCTCAATCTAGATGACACTGTAACTCACATGAAGTCACAGAATGATTAACTAGGAAGTGGCCCCAGGCCTATCTGCTTCCACAGATCAAGGATAGTGGCCAGACAGGTTTCAGGGGAAAGATGAACCCCATTGGCTCCTGGAACCAAGAGGACCCCATGTAGGCAGGGACTCTGCAAAGCTTCAGAAAGACCTAGATGCCAGGAGTATAGTTCACGGTTGAACATCTGACTGCAGAAAAACCTAGGTCTGGCTGCTCCACCTCTCTACAACAGCCTTGGCAAGCTGGTCCCCAAAGGAATCTCCCAATAAGAATTCACAACCCAAACATATCAATCTATGCATTCACAGCCCACTCACTGCTGCTGACTCTGTTTGCTCCATACTAACAGACGGCCAGAACATGCTCTTGCCCTCTTTCCATGGGGTCAGAAACCGCCTCTAAAAGCTGTAGTTGTTGCCTGCAATATCTGTGCTATAAACATGTGAAAAAGACACATCCTCTCCCAATTAGCTGTTTTTCTGATACTCTCCCAGAATCATTTCTTTCTTTTTTAATTTTTTTTTTTTTTTTTTTTTGAGATGGTTTTACTATGCAGTCCAGGCTAGCCTTGAACTTTCATTGAGCCTATTGTCTCAGCCTCCAGAGTGGTGGAATTACAGGCATGCACCACTATCCCCAGCTTTTCCTTTTCTGTTTGAGATAAGAGTCTCACTGAGTAGTCTGGCCTTAGACTCACTATATAGCCCAGGCTGGCCTCGAACTAGAGACCCTCCTGTCTCAGTCTGTTGAGTGCTAGGATTATAGGTGTGTGCCACTACACCTGGCCCCACCAATATTTCATCCCTGTCAGTGGGAGGAAGTCTATTAGGCCAAGGGGTTGGGAGGACATACGCCAACTAGAAGCCAGCTCACAATTCCCAGGGGAATCATCTATGGAAGCCTCCTCTTTGAAATGACTAAAAAATCCTAACTAGTTTTTTTTTTTGGGGGGGGGGGCTTTTTTTGAGACAGGGTCTCACTATGCAGTTCAGGCTGGCCTTGAGTTCATTTTGTGGTCCAGGCTGTCCTCCAACTCACAATGATTCTCCTGCTTTAACCTCCAGACTGCTGGGATTACAGGTGTGCACCACCATGCCCAGCTTCCTCATCAGTGTTAAAATAAACCCAAGGACAAGGTCAAGGACCCAGACTTTCCCTCCAAAATAGAGACCAGAGAAAAATATCTCCTAGAACCAAGCCACTTACAAAGAACAGAGGCTATCCCAGGAGGCAAAGCCAGTCCCAGGGATGCCAGGGCACTCATGACAAGGCTATTTCCTGCATCAGTTCTAGACATCTTCTGTCTCCTGCCCATCCCTGGTGTCCAGATAGAACAAATATCCTACTGGGCTACATGTTGTACCCCAGGCAGCCACCAACCAGTGCACAAAGAACTCCAGTGACGCTCAGAGTTTTGCTGAGCTTGGTTACACGGTAACATTTTGAAAATCTATCAGAGAAAGCATCAGCAGAGATAGCCCCAGTGTGGGCTTCATTATACCACTGGCTGGTGGGTACCACAGAACTTGGTGCTATCAGTTTTATCATTTTAGTCTCTTTGTTGGATGTGGTATATCACATGGATTTGTTTCTCTAATGACCACTATCACCATGAGTTCAAGGCCAGCCTAAACTACCCAACAAAAAACTCCATCTCAAAATACCACTAAAAATAAGGATAGCTTTCTTTAAAATTTCAATTTTCAACTGTTAGCAGGCATCATACATAAATACAGAAATATATAATTTCTGTATAGTGGCCATATTTGAAGACCTTGCTAAGCATATTTATTAGTTCTGATAACTTTCCTGTGGATTCACTGGGATTTTTCATACAATCACATCACCTGCAAAAAGCAATGGACTCATTTTTTCTCCTCTGATCTGAATGCTATTTTATTTCTGACTTTATTTTTTAATTTTTTAAAAAAATTTCTAACTTTTTTTTTTTATTGGTACCAAGAATCGAACTCACGACCGCCTGCTTGCAAGGCAGGTGCTTATGCCGCTGAACTAAATCCCCAGCTGCCCCCTGCTTTTTTTTGAGACAGGGTCTTGCTAGGCAGTTCAGGCTGTCCTTTAACTTGCTATGTATCCCAGGCTGACCTTAAATTCCCAGAAATCTTCCTGCCTCAGCTCCAGAGTGCTGGGATTTCAAGCATGTCCCACCACACCCAGCTTCTTTCTGACTTTAGGCAATGGCTTTGACATTGAGTAAATACTGAAGTTGTATGAGCAGACACCCTTGTCTTATTGAATGGCACACTGAAGGCTAACACCTGAGCCCCTATTCTCAGAGTCTTCACCTTCAGGGGCAAGGTGTTGGTCTCTGGTACAGTATGTGCACTTACCAAGAGGGCTTTTAGGACTCAAGAGGCCAAAGGAGGTTGGCTATATCACAGGCAGAGCAAGTTCTGGCTCAGTAATTCCACCTCTATAGGAAAGTGGCCCACAGCATCTTTGGGCTGAGGGTATTGTCATTTTTGTTGTTGTTTTCGAGACAGGGTTTTGCTGGGTCAGGGTCAGGCTGTCCCTGAATTCACTATGTAGCCCTGGCTGGTCTCAAACTTGCAGCAATCCTCCTGTCTCAGCCTCCCAAGTACTGGGACTACAGGTGTGTACCACTATGCCTGGCCAGTCTAATAATTTCTATAAGGTCTAGACAGAGTGGCAGAGCAATACTGAGAGATTCCTAGGAAATGGAACTAGGAATCCAGATGTCATAGCTTATAAAAAGTAAAGAGTTTGACTCTTGTGGAAGGTAAATGTTGAAGATGTGGGTAATTTGTCTGGAGGCAGAGGAACTTGCTAAGTACTCAATCAGTGCTTCTTAGCGACATATTCTCTGCAAGTAGAAAACTGCCTATCTTTGAGATGGTGATCAGTACTGCTCTCACTGATCTCAAGCTTCCTGCTGGTCAGCTGCAATCAAGGCCTCTGCATATACTATAGTCAAGTGCACACATCTGATGGTGCATGTGCCAGAGTACCCAATTCTGCCCAGCAACAGACAGCTTCTGAAGGATGGTTCTACTCTTCCACCTAACATCCTCCTAGTATGAGGGACCCTGATGACACTCTACTCAGGGAAAGCTCTGTGGAACCCTCACACTGTGGAGCCCTCACACTCCAGGTGAGATGACCTCCACTTCTGCTGTTCTGTACGGTTCACATGTGCATGGGCTCTAACAAGTTTCCACACTGCAGCACCCAAGAAACAACTAACATGCCTTTAATTAACATTTCTCATGAGACCCAAACTCTCAGAGTTGTCACACAATTTATATATGGTAATGAATCGCTCTATGCCATGTTCAGTGCATGCTAATGAGCCTAGGGGTGAAGGACACCTTGGGAAACTCTCTTTTTTTTAATTTAAGGACTACTCTCTTAAAACAAGTGGTGGTCATTTCAAAACTGGATTGTGTCTGTCTTACAGCACTACCTAGTGGTGAGGAGTTTCATCTGAAAACTCAGGGTAATATTTAATCTTTTTAAAGATTGTATCAGTAAAAACTGATGACAGTAAGCAAGGACCCTACTGTAAGAGAAAGAGCTCAAACATTTACACATATTAGAAGTCTAGCTCTAGTATTAAAAATGGAGAAAAGTTTGAAGGTGCCAAGTCCAGCCTAACTTGTAAATAATCAACCACATTCAAATTCAAGTTCATTTGTGAACCTCTTGTTACTTAAAAGAACGAGGCACTATAAAGGATGGCAATTATAGGGGCCAGGACACACTAGCTGGAAAAAACAGTCATCCAAGTTTCTATGGCAATTCTATGGAATTGCTGTCATTGCTGTTGCACCATATGCTATCAGCTCTTCCAAATGCTCACCATTAACGAAGCAAAAGGACATCTAGGCTGGGTGAGGTAGTCTATAATCTTGTGATAACTATAGTCCCAGCTATTAAGGTGCCTGAGGCAGAAGGACTGCAAGTTAAACCAGTGCAAATATGCACTAACCCAGAACTGAATCAAAAAGGATGTAGCTCAGCACTAGAGTGCTTGCCTAGCGTGCAAGAGAACCTGGGTTTGACGCCCAGTACCACGTGCATAGAGGACATCTAGCTTCTGTTACTGAAGGGAGAGAGTGACTCAGTATTCACCATCAAGAGTCTCACCTGGGTCCAGACACATGAACTTGCAGCACTCCTTAGGCTCCTTGCGGTACTGCTGACAGCCCTGGGGACCCTCACAGAGGGCAGCCACACACATCTCAGGCTCCCCTCCATGGCAGGTACAGCTCAAGCATGGATCATCCCCTTTAGGGGTGAAGTAGAAGCCTTCATCCACCACGTTGTCCTTGATGTCGACACATGTTTGACCTGCAACAAGCACGTGTGCACAGATGTATGCATTTTCACCAAACGGAACCCTGGTCCATGCCACTAGGCCTTGGGGGAATAGAGCAAGTAAGAAGCAGGCAGACTGTGTCTAGAATCTTCCTTATGCTTCAACACTGTTGGGGTGGAGGAGCAGGCAGCGGCTGTCTAACAGCAGTAGTAATCTAAGAGGCATGTCTACAACACTGAGAACAAACCACACCTAGGCACGATAAACTGTCCATGCAACTTAGAAGGGCAGAACAAAGAATGCCAGATTCTAAGGTGAAGGTATTTGCAGAAGCTTTTGGTTTTAACTTGACTAGTTTATTTATGAGATCTCAAATCTAAGATGCAGCAGTACACATCTGTAAACATAGCACTCTGAGGCGGGGCTAAGGCATGAAGCTCACAAGTTCAAACGTAGCCTGGGCAACTTAGTGACTTAGCAAGATTCTGTCTCAGAATAATAATAATAAAAAAACAAGGAAGTGGGGATGTAGCTCAATGCAAATGCACTGGGTTCCATCCTCAGTACCTGAGGGAAGGAAGGCAAGCAGGCAAAAAGTTGTAGCTGTTGCAGGCATTAATCATTTTAAAATCAGAATGGGTCTCAACCAAGTGTGGTGGCAGACACCTATAATCCCAGCAGTCGGAAGCTGAGGCAGGAGGATCACTGCAAGTTCGAGACCAGCCTGAACTACATAGCGAAACCTTGTCTCAAAAAGGACAAGAAAAGACAAGAGTAACCATAAAAGGAAAAACTGACAAACCGGATTTCATCAGATACACAAGGCAGGTACTGCTAGTGAATATGAAACCTGGGATACACCTTGTATAACCACAGTGTTAACACTCACAACTGAGATGGACAACTCACTGTGCTTAGGAGACCTTTCTGCACTAAAAGCACAGGGGAAGAAAAATAGCCATTTGTAACAAGCACCAAAGTGCTGACCTCAGTCTCCTCTGTCCTATATAAAATGCCTGGGTTTCAACGAAAAGTCAGAAGAAAGAACCACACTCCAGAGACAAAATAATGAACAAAGCCACACTCCACTGACATATATAAGGAACTACCACAGCGAATTTTTAAATAACTATAGTAACTATGATTAATATATTAACTGATCTAATGGGAAAGGTGGGCAATATATAAGAACAGACTGGAAATTTAGCAGATAGAAGGAAATTGTAAGAATCAAAAATTCTATTAGAAGGGGTCAGGGATATAGCTCAGCAGCAGAAGTGACTGCTTGGGGGGCTGGGGATTTAGCTTAGCGGCATAAGCGCCTGCCTTGCAAGCAGGCAGTCGTGAGTTCAATCCCCGGTACCGATAAAAAGGAAAAAGACAAAAAAAAAAAAAAAAAAGAAGTTACTGCTTGGCGAGTACAAGTTATCAGTTCAACCCCCGGTACCAAAAAGAAAAAAAAATTCCTATTAGAGCCGGCCACAGTGGCACACACCTATAACCCTAAGCACTGGTGAGGCTGAGGCAGGATTGTCACAAGTTCAAGGCCAGCACAATGAGATCAAGGCCATCCTTGTGAACTACACAGCACCCTGTGTCAAGAAAACAACTACTAAAAAAAATCCTATTAACTGAAAGACACAAATAAAATGAACCAAAAGGCGAAAAACACCTCCCACAGGTTCGTAAGTACATCTGACACAGCTATGGAAATAAGTAATAAGCCTAAAGACAGGACAATAGAAATTAGTCAAATGTTTGTGTAAGTAAACAGGGAGTACACAACGGCAGCCACCAGTACTGGCCCATTCAGCATCCAGAGAAGAAAATCAGGAAGTCATGTTGTCAGATTTTATGCTCAGACACAAAGGTGTTGAGTGGAATGGTTTCCAATGCAGAAGTAATGGCCTATCAGGAAATGGAAGGGTTCCTGATTCAAGGAAAGTAGTCAAGAGTTTTCTCCAATCTTTTTTTTTTTGGTCATTGTTGTTGAGACAGGGTCTCACTATGCAGTTCTGGCTGGTCTTGAACTTACTATGTAGCCTGGCCTCAAACTCATGGTAAATCTCCTGAGTGCTGGGATTAAAGGCATGTGCCACCACACCAGGCTTTCTAAGCACTTCTTGATCAGCTTTCTGTCTGGCTCTGCTGACTGTAGCACAGCAGTGGGAAGCAGTTAAGTCCCCATGGGATCTGGCAGTGACTATCAGGTGTAGTTTGATTTTCATGGGCTTTGGCTGATGAGCATGAATGTCTGGGAACCTTCCAGGAGAGGGACACAGGCTTGTGGCCTCATCCTCCTAGTCTGCAAGCTGAAGAGGGCACATACCTATAAGCTGAAGGTGTCAATTTCCCTCTGTCTGTGTCAGAGGCCTTTGCATCTGTTGGGTTGACAATCTGCATACTGTGGTCCTTTCAGGCTGAGTGTCTTGCCTCAGGGATAGCTGTTTTATCAAGGACAGAGTATGGTACTCGCAGCTGTGAGGGATTATGGCCTTGTGTGCAGTACTATAGTCAATGAAGCTGTGACAGGAGGTGGACTTGCATTTTAAGGCAGAAAGAGCACTGTGGTTTTCTTTTCAAATTGTTGTCAAGGGGGCTGGGGATTTAGCTCACGGCATAAGCACCTGCCTTGCAAGCGGGCAATCTTGAGTTCGATCCCCGGTACCGGAAAAAAAGAAAAAAAAAACCCAAATTGTTGTCAAAAATACATTAGCTACTTTTTCTTCTTGTTCCTCAGCTTTCTATAACCTACCACTGAAACAAAGTTAGGAACTTCTAAGAACTATTTGGTTAAGTTTGTGCCTTTGCTCTTTTTTTTTTGGTACTGGGGATCAAACTCATGACCTCACACTTCCGAAGCAGGCGCTTACGGTGCTCAGTTAAATCCCCAGCATATACTTTGCTTTTATATTTTTCAAAGATGTTGAAATTTTTGGTTCCTGGTTTTAGAAGCCTTAGTACCAGTTTTCTTCTGGAAAGGAGAAACTTGTTAATGTCAGCTCCAAAATTTTCCAGTGTATTTTGTACTTAATCCCCACCCCATGTCTTAAGGTTATTTCTGTAGAAATACAAACTTTTCTTCTCACACTCATCAATTACTGGAGGTTTTCTATTGAATACACCTTTTCCGAAACACTTAGGGCTTTAGTTACATACTTTTGTTGTAAACTACACATTTTTTTAAAATCGGTACCGGGGATCAAACTCACATTCAAGTGCTTACAAGGCAGGTGCTTATGCCGCTGAGCTAAATCCCCAGCCCCTTGAGTTAGATACTTTTATAAGCTGTCTTCTATGGATGATTTCACAGATTTCTCAGAATGGCTTCTACCAAAGGCAATACATTTAGATATTTACTGACATGTCTATTTTGCTGACACCATAACTTTTTTAATTTTCTTTTTTTTTTTAACAACATCAGGATTTCACCTAAGGGATCATGTCAAATGTGTGTGTGCTGTAACTGTGCCTTGTGGGATGAAAAGAATAGTATGAAACCGAGTAAAGACCCTCCAGCAGATACATTTTCTGGTCCTGTGCTCTGACTCAGTACCCTAGTCAGAATAACATGGTTTCATCTACTCATCTCATCATATGTCAATCAGTCTTTGTCCTTTTTTTTTGGGACATAGGATCTCACTATGTAGAGTTCAGGCTGATCTTGAAGTCACTATGTAGCCCAAGCTGGTTCTCATACTTACAGTGATCCTCTTGTCTCAGCCTCCCAATGCTGGAATTATAGGTGTGCATTTTTAATTTGCAAATAGATTTCATGATTAATATTTGCCTACTATCTTTAATGTCCTGTTTTTGTTTTCCCCTAAATGTCTTTAGCCAACCACTTTTTGACTTATTCTAAGCAACATTAATTGGTTGCCACAGAAGTGTTTATTGATCTGGTATGGGATTTTATAAAATAAAATTTTATAAAATAACTGTCATGTGGAAAAAAATTGGTTTGGGAGACAAAAAATAAATAAAAAGGAACTGCGTTCAATTTCCAGTATTTCCACGAAAGAAAAGGAACAAAATGAACTGCCTAAATAAAAAATCTAGGAGAATCTACAGTCTTAACAACTAATAAGAAAGTCCATGCAACCCCAGCAGGTGGAAGGCTGAGACAGGAGGATCACTGTGAGTTTGAGGCCATCCTGGGCTATGAAGTGAGTTCAAGGCCAGCCTATACTACATAGTAAATTCAGAAAAATCATTGTAAAACTGATGTGTTAGAGAAAAAGCCTAGGAACAGGCAATGTAGTATCAAGTACAAAGAACAGTCACAATAGCAGCTATCAAGATTTATCAGGGCCAGACATTTACCTCAGTGACATAAGTGCCTGCCTGGCAAATGCAAGATTGTAAATTCAACCCCCCATACCAAGAAAAAAAAAAAATCAAAGGACAGCCAAGGAGTTAGCTCAGTGGCACAGCAACTGGCTGGCAACATGAGGTCCTGAGTTTAATTCCCAGTACCAAAACAAACAAACAAAAAAGATTTATCACAAAGCTACTGATACAGGATTGACAAATGTTAGAATGGAGTATAATAATATGCCCAGGTGAATTTGAAACCTGGGTTTGTGATGTATTGGTAGAAAGAGAGGGATTGATACTGGTGAACAGAACTGAGAGCATTACCTGAACTAGATGTACATTAATGGCTCTCTGTAGTTGCCAATGCTAACTACAACCCTTCACCCCATTACAAAGGAAGAGGGGAGGCAGGCCATCCTGCCGTTGGTTGGACAGGCTCCCAAAATTCAAAGAAACCTGAATGTGACATTTGGGTATGGTGGTAGAGGAACAGGGAAAGACTCATAACACCAAAGACTAGGCAGGAGGAGCTGTCTAGTAATGCAGAAAGGCAAGGAGAAAAAAGGATCCACAAAGAGCCAGTGGGGCCACAGCACAGTAAGTTCTTGGATCACCACTCCCATTTAACCTAATACAACCAAAGCAGGCAGGTCTCCAACCCAGGAGAGAACCAGCAGCTCAGGGGCCAGCCCCAGGACCTGACGGTAGCCAAGATGCAGACTCCAGGAGACTTACTTCTTTTACACAGAAACGAGGACTTCTCGTAGCAGCTCTCGGCGTGCCAGCTGTGGAGGTCATGGTGCCGCAGTGTTGGGAAGTGGAAGCACTGCAGCTGGGCGCAGTACACATTGTCGTTCTCAGACATGGCCGATGCGAAGATGGGGTCTGGGGGCAGGAACACCTCCGAGGAGCCTGTTCGAGAGGACAAAAGCTGAAGCTGGACAATGGCCAAGCACAGTCCTCTAGGGCCCATAAGATCATCAACCAAAGAGCTCATAGCCCATGTGTGCTGAAGTCAGCTCCAGGGATGAGGCCTGGAAGGGCCCTGACAAACACATAAACAAGTATCATCCAAAGAAGACAGTGCTACACAATGACTCACCACAGGTGCTTTAAGTTTGAACAGCATGAGTAATAAACAATGGATGCTAACACACTGGATTAAAATGGAGAAACTGATAAATGAATAAACAAATGGGGAAATGTGTAGAGGAAGTTTTCCTCAACAGAAAACTCAGTAAGAAAAAGAGCACTCAGAAAGTCTCTGCACTGTACTTGTGAGGCACACGTTTTTCTTTTCTTTTTTTTTGTCTTTTTCCTTTTTATCGGTACCAGGGATCGAACTCACGACTGCCTGCTTGTAAGGCAGGCGCTTATGCCACTGAGCTAAATCTCCAGCCCCGAGGCACATGTTTTTCTAGGGATTGCTGGTTTCATTCCCACTGAGACACTGGCATCCCTGCCACCTAGCATACTGTACACATGTAAAGCACTGGTTCTCTGAAGCTATCACCCAGCTGAGGGGATGTTCTGCCATCCTTTCAACTGCTTCTCAAGCTGGGAAAAGGGCATCAAAAACCATGCTACCCTCCCTGGTAAGGATAGGAACTTGGAACATGTTGGGGGAGGGCCTGTTAATCTTCAACCACTCTCCTGCAATGTGCCAGGAAGAGGGTGACACAGCTAGACTCCAGGGCCCAGCCTATCTTGAACACAACCCTCCAAGGCCAGGCCACCAAGAGATTCCTTTACCTTCCCCAATATGGATCACTTAAAAAGACAAAAGCAATCTTTCCTGAAAGCAGAATACATGCACTTCAAGCTCTAGTTCCCTAATGCAGTATACTCCTTTCATAGGATACCAGGCATTACCACCCACACCTTCCAGAACTGTTTCCGCACAGCACTAAAACATGGTTTGCAAACACCTGGTGCACCCAGAGTCAGCTTTATGGCATAGCACCTGGGTATGTGGCTGCCTGGCAAGGGTGGGAAGACTGGCTTTCAGGAAGCCCTTTCAGGAAGCACTGCCTTCTCTAGAGATATCCAGGTTCCAATGTCCTACCTGCTGCATCTGTGTGCAGCAGACTGCCAGAAGGGTACAGGACTAGGCCAGCTCCCTGAAGACATTCTCCCACACTATCTGGAGGATTCATTCCCTCTACTCAAGAGTAGAAGCTGCCTGTTTTGGTTTTATTTGTTTTGTTCTTTACTGTTTTGTTCAATTTTATTATAACTGATGATATAGGCAATTCTTTTTAAGATAGCAAGAGACATTATGGTAACCACTGTTGATCACCTTGTATTGTTTTTACATTATGTATTATGTCCATCCTTTTGATTTGACTGACTGTTTTGTTATGTCACATTTGGTTTTATTCTCTTCAAAAAAAAAAGTAATAAGAACTGTGGGAGTAATAAAACCTAAAATGTGTAATTGTCATTGTAAAAAAGAGAGGAAAAGAAAGTGCTCTAAAGGATATAACTGCATGTATATTTAAGTATATAAGATAGATAACCATATTACTGTTTTGTTGGATCAGAACTGTTTGCAGTCTCACTGTTTGAATGTCCACTTTATATGCTTTAATTTTGTAACCTGAACAACTATTTCTAAGATGACAATATGTAATCTATTAACTAGTGATTTCCTACTGTTTTTTTCTGAAATTCTGTATAACTTGTACCCTTTTTCTGTTTTTGTTTTTTTTTTTTTCCTCCTTAAATAAAATTTAAAAAAAAAAAGAGTAGAAGCTGCTACCAGCATCCCGTGCCCTGCCACAGGCCCTTCTTCCAACTTCTTTGCTTCCCGAGGAGGCCACTGCTGCATCGGGCAGTTGTCCTCCCCTTTAAAAACTTTCTGTCCTACGTGGTGTTTTACTTCATGGGCTGAAAAATGAACAGGCTCTCCCTCACCTTTCAAAAGCAAGTCCTCAGGGCTGAGACCTGTTGCTAGTCCCAGAGTTCCTGATCTCAACTGTGATCTGTGATAGGTAATAGCAGCACTTAAACCAAGGGCACAAATGGCCCCTCAGAGCAGAGTCCTATGATCCAGGCCCATCACCAAAAGCTGCCTGGATAAAAGGAAACAAATGGGAGGGTGGCTCAGGCTATCAAGAAGCTAGGTTTCAGCAAGACTTCAGCCAAGACCCCAGTGAGCCACCAACAGATGGGAGGACACAGCATTCCCTGACAGCCAAGAGCAAGCCACCATGTGTACAGTACATCTGCTCATGGAAGCTGCTCAAAACTAGAGTCTATGGTGCTGATTGGACTAGTCCTGCAGGTACTTCTGCCCTTCCAAAGTGCAGGAGTTGGCAGAGGCAAGCAGGTGTTTGCTTTAAATTTTGTGTAAACTGAGATAGGCACTAATAAGTACCTCAGTTTTCCAGACATCATTCAGTGCCTACACTGAGAGCAAGCCCTGATACCCTGGGCAGAAGCACCCCAGGAAGGGCTCACAGTAGAAACAAAGAGCTTGCTCCAATTACGGGGCTGGGGAAGAGGCCAGAGTGGTATGGGTTAAAGGTAGAGAGGGAAGGAGCTTCCGACCTTAGTGAAAACTGTGACTGTAAGAAAGAGAACCATGAAGAGCAGGAGGCCAGGAGAAAGAGCCTCTCTGATAGGTGTGTAAGGGAAAAACAGTGGAAGCAAAGGGACTGGCCAGAGGCCACTGTGGTAATTAGGTGGGTGAAAATCAGGGTGTCAGGTCTGGGTGAGAGATTCAAAGCTGGTGACAAGTCATGAGATCCTGATGTATCTGAAAGGATACGCGAAGAGTCAAGAACTCCTGAGCTCCACTAGCAATGACTCTTGTAGATTTCCTTCTAAGACTGCCACCGCTTCCTGGATGTGAACCAACCATCCAACTCTTTCTGAAGGACACTGATGTGGAGAAAGGACCCCAAGAAGAGCCCTCGCCCAAGGTGAAACCACAAGGCTTCTGCAGCAATGATCCGTTCTTCTAAACTTCCCTCCAGGATGCTCCTCCTCTCAGACACTGCTACGATAGGAGATTCAGCCCTCGGATTAACTAAGTAGTAGAAAGCTCCAGAATACTTCCAATGCATCTGAGGTATGCAGCTCCTTGGCTCCAAGGGCCTGTGAATACTGTCCAACTACTTCTGTGGCATGTTTTCTCCTGCAGTCCATGAGAGCCACTCTACCTATGTGTCTATTTCCTTTTCCTTCAGCTTATAAGTATAGCCCAGCACTCTGGCAAGCCCTCTATTGTTTCTGTGACTGTTTCTGTTCACTTGTTTTTCTCAGCAGTTAGCAAGCTGACTGCTTCTCTAAGAACCTCTTCTTCCTGTCTTACTATCTCAGTAACCACAGACCCAAAGGGCTATCTGGGCCCTGGCCTCAGGATAATCTGGAGGAAGCTGCTCCAGTAGGCAGTCTGTGGTTACCTTGTCCAGAAAGCAGGGTCTCTGCACTATACCTTCCAGCAGCTACTAGATCAGTGTGGCCCTTCCCCTCTGCTGAACAAAGAGTGTAGGTAGTAGGTCTGCTGACCTCACCAACAGGACCTTACAACAGTCACATTCTTCCCCACAAGACAGAGAAGACCACAAAGAACCAGTCACATCTTGAGACACAACAAGGCTTCTTTCAAATTAAACGTCTCCTGATCTCGGTCTGTGTGCAGACTGATGTGAGCAGGTTTGGAAACACAGTGGGGGATAAATGGGGCAAAAGCACCAACAATCTTAAATTCACAAAATACATGAACATGTTACACCATGTTTCCATGTTAGTGCTTTAAAATTAACATCAAAAATAAAATAAAATAAAATAAACATCAAGTATGAACAACCAGGAACTGATGTGCACTGCTAGCCACAAGGATGGGGACTCTGCTAGTAGATTGGGAAAATGTGGAAGATTTTCCCTCGACAACAAGGATCCACATTTTTTCACATTTTCCGTATGAGCTAGCCCCCTGCCCACTAGTAGCAGCAGCTCTCAATTTGTAGAGCACACCAAAGCCCAGTGCTACCAAATTTGTAGTGCTTCAGCAACCCTGGAGAGCTGCAAGGGCTTATGCAGACAGGAGCTGGAGTAGAAGAGCCACCTCCTGAGGAGCTGTTGAGGAATTCATACCCAAAGCCCTGAGGCTGGGGATTTAGCTCAGCGGCATAAGCACCTGCCTTGCAAGCAGGCAGTCATGAGTTCGATCCCTAATACCGATAAAAAGGAAAAAGACAAAAAAAAAAAAAAAAAAAAAAAGCCCTCAGGAATCCAAGGGGAATGAATTACAAACAAACCTCAATATACAAGGAGGGGTAGGATACAACACAAACAATCATAGATATGTGTGTGTAATACACATGCACCATTGTGACAGTATAGAACATGTTATCAAAAACACAAGTTGCACAAGATAAAAATGAAATAGACATCTTAGAACATCTTTCCCATCATTAACTAATATTCTTAGGCATAGTACATTCTCAGGGAAGGGTTCATCATTAACAACTTCTCAGACCCCAACCAACAAGCCATTCCCCACCCCACTCTCTTTGCACCATGGCAAAGAGTTCCTCTGAGCAGGAGGAGAGGGCTTGCTAGGCCATGCCCTTATTGTTTGTATTTTTAGTCTTTTCACTCTACTGTTTCTTAGCAGAAAATATAAATGATGCAAAAATGTTTTAGATATGCAAAAAGTAGAAAAAGTATGATGTAACCCTGTGTAGTTTCAATGCTGAGATGGATCCTGCAGTTTGGTTCATCCCCCATGGTGTGTTCCTCCCTGAGCACACTGCGCCATCTGGCACTTGCGTACCAGGCCATGTCCCCTAAAAATACACAACTATACATGCAGACAAAAATGAACAGTCAATATTTGCTCTAAGTCTACAGTCACTTTCTTTAATTATATCCTCCTAAGAGTTTTTATAATGTATCTCTTGCAACTTTTGCAATCCAGGGTATCATTAAAAAGAAAAAAATCAAATTTTCCTTAGACTCCAGAACAACTCATGATGTTGAGCTGTGTCAAGTATCCAGGCCACTTTACAGGGAGCAGAAAAATCTTTTTTTAACCATGTGTACATTTTGTGACCACCACTATTTAAATCCACTAACAAAATCTCCAAATCCATAGATAACAGAGCATAACTTCCATGCAGAGTTGCTGGATCCCCAGGGTACCCTGCATGAGCGTAGGGGCTTTTCCTAAATTGTAATCACTCTTCTTATGTCCCATGGAACCAATAAGACAAGCAAGGTCATCAGAGCTCACCTGGGCAATGAAGACATCATGCCAGAGATGAGGGTCTGAGCCCAAAGCACAGACATGTAATCACCGCACAGACGAATGTCTCTTCTCTTTCTTTCTATCTGTCTCTGTCTCTCTTTCTCTCTGAACTACAGATATTAAACCCCAGGCCTGCCTAATGAGCTACATTCTTAGCCCTTTTATTTTTAAGACAAGCATTCCCTAAATTGCTTTAGCTGGGCTTGAATTTGTTATCCATTTGCCTTAGGCTCCCAGAATGCTGGGATTACAGCTATGCCCCACTATGCCTGGCTTGTATGTCTTTTCTTTAACTACCAGCACTGAGAATACAATCATGCTCATGAGTGTTGAAGCTGTTCTAAGCTAGCTTGTGACTACAGTGTTACAAATATTCAGCCCCAAGGACTGTTATGAAAGCAAATAAAAAACTACTAGGAAAATGATCCTTTACAAAACACTCTGTGACTCGCAGGGGCTAGAGAATTAAAAACCTTTCCATTTCCTGCAGGAAATCTAAACAACATACAAACAAAGTCTGAGAACTGAGTGCAGGTGGTGTTTTCAGTAAAAAATCAGAGGATAAAGAATGGAAGCCAGATGTGATGACACACGCTCATAATCCCAGCATCCAGGAGATAGGCAGAAGGATCACTGTGAACTCAAGGCTAGCCTGCGCTATATGGTGAGTTTGAGGTCAGCCTATACCACATAGTGAAACCCTGTCACAAGACAAAACAGTGGAATGATGTTCTCAGCAGCAGTGGAACTGGTGGGCATAGCCTTCTCTGATGGGCTCCACAGAGCCCATCTTTGCTCCCTGCCCCATCCCCAGCTGCCAAGTGTTGTCCATGAATCTACAAAGTCCTGCCTCTCTCCAGAGAAGCTGGTTTTCTATGGTCCTGATCCTTCTAACCCTGTTCCCAGGCCCACAACTCCTCACCTGCCCTTATTAGAAGTGCTGAAGATAGTGTTGTGATTAAGATATGTTTAGGGAACAGGAATCCAGATCTGAGCTCAAACCAGAGGCCCAAGGAGCAGACTAACTGGAAGGCCCTGATGATGGGAAGGATGAGGAGAGTGGCACCAAGGCGTACACAGCGGGGCACCTGGACAGAAGTTGCTATTACCAGGGCAGTAGGGCATGAGGAAAGGAATGGGAAAAGTCCCTCCAGGACCTTAGCTGCCCACAGATGTTCCCTTTTCATTCTTCAGTGTTTCCAAATAACTCAGTATAAAATCATTGAAACATCCCTCCACATATACACAAGTACACACAGTCTGTCTGACAGTTCCTTTGACTTAAGGATTGTAACCTTAAACTTTCCTGCCCTAGAAAGTTTCTCCTTCCTTCTTGTACTCATTTGTAAGCCCCAAAGTTTTTAACCTTTAAATTTATTTAATTTTTATTCCTTTTCAATTATCAGTGCTGGGCATCGAACTTCAGATTTTTTTGGTCTTCTTGAGACAGGGTCTTGCTATGCAGTTCAGGCTGGCCTTGAGGTCACTTTATAACCCAGGCTGGTCTTGAACTTTTAACAATCCTCCTGCCTCAGCCTCCCGAGTGCTGGAATTACAGGCATGAGCCACCACACCCGGCTAGAACTTCAGATCTTATACAGTCTAAGAAAGAGCTCTTGCTTAAGAGATATGCCCCAAATGCCTCCTTTTTGTAAAAATAATTATTTTTAAAACTGATACATAAAACTGTACATATCTGTGATGTTTTGATACATGTATACAAAGTATAATGTTTAAATCAATTCTAAACATTTATCATTTTTTTGTGGCAAAGACAAAGTTCCTTCTTTTCTTTTGGAAATGTAAGCAGCAGTAAGTACACACACATGCCTATAAACCTAGCACTAGAGAGGCTGAGGCAGGAGGATCACTATCAGCCTAAGCTGTGTATACAGTGAGTTCAAGGTCAGTCTGAATGATACAGCAAGACCCTATCTCAAACAACAAAACAAAACAGATCACGTACAGGTATAAATTCCCTATGATAAATGTTACCACTATGTGTATCTAAAATATATCAATAAAATTATTTTTTTAAAAAGGAAATGTATAGTACATACTGTTATCTAGAGCCACCTCACTGTCCAACAGCACACCAGGGCATTTTATACCTATTTAACTGTAACTTAGTATCCACTTATCAATATTCCTCCCAAGCCCCCTTCCCTCATTCTCCCTTTAGGTAAAGCTGCTAACTTTAAAGAGAAGATGGGCAGTCTAGAAATCTGGCCACAGTGAAAACAATGAGTTCCAGAGAAGGCCCTAGTCCCACAGGGGACTGACTCATGTATATGATGGCTGTGCACTCCGAGACACCTCCTCTCCACAGTCCCTGTACCAGGTGGTCCTAGAGGCAGGCACAACTGGAGGAGGGAAGAGGAGATCCCAGAAATATTCCGGGTCAGGGTGACTTCTTCTAATTTCAAACTTAAGGAAAACTTACCTTTGAATGCTACCTCCCATCGACCCTCTAAGGAAGGATTCCGGGCAGTAACAACATACTGATAGCCAACCCACAGCCTGCAGGAGTTAGAAACAGAGATTACATCAGAAAGAGGCAAGCATCGAGCATCAATGACTGTGCAGGTGTTTTATTTTTGAAATGCTGAGGATTGAATCCAGGGCCTTAGTACGTAGTAGGCAAATGCAATACCATTGAGCATTTGTTTTAGTGATTCTACTGACTTTTTTTTTTTTTCTTTTTCATTTTTATCAGTACCAGGGATTGAACTCACGACCACCTGCTTGCAAGGCAGGTGCTTATGCCGCTGAGCTAAATCCCCAGCCCCGATTCTACTGACTTTTAAAACACAAACAATTTATGTTTTAACACTTAATTTTAACAAAATACATTAAAACTTTAAACAATAATTTTGTATGTCATAAACAGTTTTACTCATGGGGCCCCAACCAATCTCATTCTTAGCTGATCCAATAAAGCCTGCATGTTTGAAGCCAGATTAATCTTATTCTTGGTGGAAATAAAGCTCCAGAAACATACACCCTGAATGTTAAATCCACAGACCCAGATATTCTGAAGTGTTATGACATGAGAGTTACAACTCAATAACAAAGCCCTGTGAATATATACATTGCCAAATTTGACGCAGACATTAGCACAACTTCTCTCTGAGCCTGTCTTGCCTAAGGTATGTATCCAAGAGCGCTCCATCCAACACCAAAGGAACCTTCCAGAGACTTCTCCAACTGCTACAAGCAACTTCCAAATGTGTATTTCCTGCCTCAGCTCTCTAGCCCCAGCACTAGAGATGCCCATCTGCCAGGCGGTGGTCTCAGAGCTTGCCCCTCTGCCCTGGGATGAGATGTGCACAGATGGCCGCCCAGGGAAATGCTCTTCCCACCCTCCAACTGATCCCCTTCTTCCCTTCTTCTGGGCTCCCATACATTCTCTTTGTAGGGGTAGAAAGGGTAGAGAGCTATTTTTCTCACTTTGTAGCTATAGGAGAAACAGCTTAGTCTTATGCTTTCCCAACATCATATGGTACATAATTATGGAGCTGAGCCCTCTTCTAGTGTTGAAATGAATGTCCCGTGTCCATGTGCATCAGGTTATCATGCCTCATGACAGCTGCACCATTGTGAGGAACACATAACTCACAGGAAGCATGAGCCATCTTTAGGACTCTGCAGAGCTGTGTTTCCCTCCAGAAAAGGTTGCTTTTGTTGTTGTTATTGAGATAGGGTCTGTGTAGCCCAAGTGAGCCTTGAATTCATGGTGATCTTCCTGCCTCAGTCTCCCAAATGCAGGGATTACAGGTGTATACCACCAAATCCAGCAATCTCACACCCCTAGCAATATGGATAGGACAGTGTGATATGATAGAACACTGCAGGTCTCTGCACATGTGTCTCCAAACAAAACCCCCTCCCACAAATGCAGGGCCTGAGACATATGTGATTAATTACCATTTTCACATGTCCTCCTTGACACAAAAAGCCAGAAGGTAGGAGCAAGTCTGAGGCAGACTGCCTGGGCTTGAATCCTAGTATGTGCCCTTTGATACATGTTCACTCATATGTGTGCCCAGCATGGCCTCTGAAGTTCTTGGGAGGACTGAAAAGCACTGAAAATGGAGCTGGAAGAGTTTATTTCTCATAAGGAACCTCTCACACAAGGCCCATGAAGCCTCATACCAAGCAGCTCTAGGTGACACAACCTGGGGCTCTCTGGCTGCACCCATTAACTACCGTTGCCCCCAGAGAGGACCAAGGAAAGAGGCCAGTCCTTAAGTTTCACAAGACAGTGATAGGACCCAACTGCTCTTGTCTCCATCACAAGCTCCTACCTCCATCTTGATGTACAAGCTAAGCCCCTGGTGCTCCCTCTGCTTCTAGGGGGCAGATATCGGCTTTCTCCAATTCTGGCTGGCAACTATGCCTTGCTTAGGGTTAGTCAGAGCCTATGTGCTTAATAGTCCTCATGTCCCAACTCCAACAACTCACTTGCGCTGGTCCTTCCAACCAAATGGGACCAGTTCGGGCTGATCCCATTCCTGGGCTAGGACAAAGCGCAGCTCCTGGTCAGTAGAGAAGGTAGCAAGGGAGCCATTCACACGCTGGCAGGTCTGTGCAGCATCCCAGTAGTTCTCCCCACTCAGGTAGACGCGGTAGCAGCTGGCTTCATAGTGGTGCCATCCTGTCGGGCACTTCCCTAGGAAACATGAAGGATGAAAGGGGAGTTGTCCCCCAAGTTAGGATCTGAACTCCAAAATCAAAATTCTGTGTGCTATATGGAGTGCAGGCATGCCTCAAAAATCACCCTAGAGAGTTGGGCATTGTGACATGTCTATAGTTCCTGCACTCAAGAAGCTGAGGTAGGAGGATCACAAATTTGAGGTCAGCCTGGGCCACACGGTAAGACCCTGTCTCAAAGAAACCAAAAAAGAAATCAACCAGCGACAGAGAAACTGAAGCTCAAAAGGACAAGCTCCTGCTTCTCAGATTACATACTCTGTAGAAACAAATTTTCTCTAAAATGCAAATCCAATCTAGGATGTAAGTATTTTTAGTGATTCCTCCCTTTTCTAAAAGGCCTTTTAATTTTTGCAGGTGTCAAGAGTAGCTGCTGAATGAATTTCTGTAGGACAAACCTCATTCTCTGATTCAAGTCTGTTAATAAGACAATGGACTATGAGACCTTGGAGGGAGGAGGTGAACAGGGAGAATCTCTGATGGCTAGTTGTCCAGCCTATGCTGCCAGCAAGGCCATTGCTTCCTGATTCACATCTCTGCCCCTCTTTTCTGTTCACATGCATGCTGCCTGCCCAGCACTCCTCTACAAAAGCAGCTCCACAGATCACACCACAGAGGACCGTGAGCTTGTGGAATCAACCCTGGCCTCCACCAGATAAGAAAAGAATGCTTAGGCACTGCCTCAGCTCTTAAAGTGGGTCAGTTCTACCTCCCCAAAATCAACGCCTTCTCAGTTGTTTTTTGCTTTTTGGGTTTTTTTTTTTTTTGGGGGGGGGGTGTACTGAGGATTGAACTCACAACCAAGCACTTACCAGGCAGGCACTTATCAGCTGAGCTAAATCCCCAGGCCTACCTTCTCAGTTTGTCAGGCTGTCAACCTGCCCCTCAAGCATGGGAAGGTACTTTACAACTTAACTCAAAATGCTTTATAGAATCTATAACCTTCAAATGTTAGAGTATCTTTTACCAGTAAAATGAAAAGTAACAACTTCAAAATATCCATCATAAAATTACATTTTATGACAGAATTCTTTTTCTCTTTTGGTTCTGGAAACTGAACTCATGCCTTGCACAGATTATGCACGCACTCTATCTATCAAGCTACACCTCCAGCCCAAGAGTAACGATTTTTACTCAAAGCTGTATGTCATGCCACTGAGGCATGGCACAGCATTGTTGGCAAGGACAGAAAGCTGGACAGCATGACCTGCCCACTGCTGGGGTCTAGGTTAGTGCATCTGAGTGCAAAGGAACAAACTAGGAACCTGAGCGCACACTCAGCAGGCAGTTCTACTTATCTCCATGTCAGAGGCCAGGGCACAAGACATGGAGCGGCTCAGGAGCAGCAGCAGGACCAGCCAGGCTTCCTCTGGAAATGGGGTCAATAGTATACCCTCTGGGGAGGGAATCCAACTGGCTAGAGCAATGGAGAAAGGAAGGGTTCCTTTTTTTATTAATTCATCTTTCTTACATGTTGAATTTTGTGAAATTATAAGAAGTCATTAAAAATTATAGTAAATGTTTAAAATTTTAAAAATTTATTATAGTAAAATATACAGTGCCATTAATATCTCCCTCAAGATAGTCCTCTTTTGCCTCTTAACCCATTTTGTCACTTTCTGAAGCAGTTCTAGAAATTCTTTCATGACTGACTTTAGAAGATATAATAAAAAATATAGTGATACAGCTGCTAAGTACCATCCAATGAAAAGACAAGACTTGTAAAAAATTATGGTGCCAGTTATGGTGGCATATACCTGCAATTCCAGCACTTGGGAGGCTGAGGTAGGAGGATCGTTCCAAGTTTGAGAACTGGGCTACAGTGAGCTCAAGGACAGCCTGAACTGCATAGGGAGACCTTGTCTCAAAAACACAAAAAACAACAAAAAAATAATATTATGGTGTGTTTTCATCTACCTTACTCATCATATCTGGCACCATCTGACTTGCCGGCTCTTTCTCAAAGTCAAAATGACCAGGAAAGGTAAATGTTTTGAACTGATTCAGGACATTGAAACAGCCACAACAGCTCAATTAAAGACACAAGGATAGTAAGTGTACTCAAAAGCGAGGGGTAGTATCTTCAGGAGGACTAATGACAACATGCCTTTTGCTAGGGCTGAGGATACAACTCGGTTGCACAGTGTCTATCTAGCAAATGCAGGATCCTGAGCTTGATTCCCAGTGCCCCAACAAACAAACATGTCTTTTGCAGTAATAAACTTTGAAAATCTGAACACAGTACATTTTTCAATCACATCACTATTACTCTGGGGGAAGTACTGCTTGCTCAAAAGAAAATAAAATCTAAGCACTGGAAGAGCATGGAGTTGAGCATCAAGAACCCATGGGGCTGCATCCTGGAGCTTCCCCTTCAGCTGCGTGACCCCAGACAAGCTGACCTTTCAGAGTCTCCATTTCCTCCTATGCCAAGTGTGGAACATCTTTCAATCATAAAAATTCCTGAGGAGTTTACTGTTACTGTGTCAAAGAACTGGGCACAGTGTCAGGGCTTAAAGGATGGGTGGACCATGCCATTCACTGCTTGCTCAGTTTTCATCAGAGACTTCAGCCCCATGTGGAGGGGAAGCTCTGAGTGGCACTGGAGCACTGCAGGGCAAGTGATTTCCCATGGTTTCCTCATCACTGACAGTGCTGGGCTTGGGCAAAGCCACTGCAGCTTGAGGACCCAGCCACATCTCAGGTTTGTTGGCAGTCAGCACAGGCTGGTGCTATGAGGTGTCACTGAAGCACTCCCTAGTGCTGAGTCTGTGGGCTCACTCTGAACAGCAAATAGAGCCTATGCTCTTCAGCAGGGATATCAAATGTTACTTCTTCCTGCCCCCGCTACAGCTGCGCACCAAACCTAACCACAATCACTTGAGCGTATCTATGGACAGGCTACTTCAGCTGCGAATTTCTTCCTTTCAGCCTTCCTTCAACTTATGTTCCTTTAAGTATTAAAAGTCATGGGTAGGGGCTGGGGATTTAGCTCAGCGGCTAAGCGCCTGCCTTGCAAGCAGGCGGTCGTGAGTTCAATCCCTGGTACCGATAAAAACTGAAAAAGACAAAAAACAAAAAACAAAACAAACAAACAAAAAAGTCATGGGTAATTCATTACATTATATGTACATATATGAAAGTGTGTACACACATACACATCACACTATTCAGCATAAAAGGGCCGCACATAGGACCCGCGGCTGAGTCCATTTATTCTCTGCAACATTTTCTTGGAAAAGTAAGAATAGAATACACACTCCCATACATTTCAAATGGGTTACAGGTGCTTATTAGAATTACATCTTAGCAGTCTTCACTCTTGCATTGCTATTATGAAAAGGGGCTTTACTGAATTTTCTGATAAATCCCTCTGTAGTGCCAGCCCTTTATATACATATGTATGGATAGTTTTTAAAACATAGTGGTACTACATAGCTTTACAGTGAGCTACATCCCCAGTTTTTTTTTCTTTTTATCAGTACCAGGGATCGAACTCATGACCGCCTGCTTGCAAGGCAGGTGCTTATGCCGCTGAGCTAAATCCCCAGCCCCCCCCTTTTTTTCATCCCCAGTTTTTTTCTTTTAGTTTTTTTGTTATTTTCAGTCTGAGACAGGATCTTGCTAGACTGCCAAGGGCTTGAATTTATAATCCTCTCCTGCCTTAGTCTCCCAAACTGCTGGGATTATAGGTATAAACCATTGTGTCCACCCTCATTTTTAAAAATTAATTAATTAATTAATTATTATAAGCTCTTTTGGTCTTGCTACACTGCCCATGCTAACAATTCTCCTGCTTAAGCAACAGACTCAAGCAATCCTCCTGCCTCTGCTCCCTTAATAGCTAAAACTGTAAGTATATGCCACAAAGCTTCACTGAACTAACCAATCGCTTTTAAAAAGCAAACAGGTGAAGGCTTCCCCAGTCACTAGCTGTACCTAAATTCTCAGAGCCTGTTTTCCTATCTATAAAAGGGAACAATTCAATTATGGGATTTCCCAGGACCTGTGCTGTCCAGCCCTGTTCTGACTATGCTTTGAAATCAAGCAGCCTGGCTTTGGAGCCTAAGTCGAAGTCTCACTTCACCCTCAGGAGCCAGATGACCAAAGAAGGGTACCAAGGAGTCTTATTCAGGGGTCCTGACACCTAAAAGGAATGCTTTAGGAAATAAGCACTCCCAACCCATAGCAGAGAAGCACTGGGAAAGCTAGGGGCCAAGTCTTGGGCTTCAAGCTCAAGATGGGTGGGCTTCACTCTGGTGGGTGTCACAGTCAGGACAGGTCTGCAACTTACTGCTGAAGCGGACAGGCTGTGCCACGTTCACCGCATGGAAGTGTGTAGGGTCACCACCTCTGGCTCGCCCCTGTCGCAGGTCCACAGACTCCTTCCCATGGTAAGGCCGTGACTCCCTGGTTACTTCTAAAAGCAAAAAGAGAAATGGCGTTGTGAGCCTGACCAGTGCAGCAGGGACAAAGCAACCGTGGGGCTTCTTCAAATACTGCCAAGCTAAATGGCAGTATGGGTTCACTACTCAGGATAGAAGGGCATACACAGGACATGGCAAGAGTCCTCTTACTCCCTGGAACCTTTCTTTGGAATTCTAGAATAAACAGTGCCATACGTTCAAGTATGTCACATGTGCCTATTAGAAATTCACTTTGGCATTCTTTACTACTATACGTTATTATGAAAGAGGGCTTTACTGAACTTTCTTGTGAATATTGCTAGCATAGAGTCAGTCATTCCTTCTGCAGTGCCAGTCCTATAGGGATCCTAGGTAAAGAGCTCTTTCCAGTGCCCAGGTTGCCTTTCCACTCACCCTCACTGGCTTGGTAGTCCCCATGTTAGGGGGAAGGAGACTGTGTGCAACTACTCCTCTCATCACTCGCCACCGGAACTAAGCTACCTGCCTGCCTAGCTCTGGCCAGCCTTGAGATGTACCTCAAAGGTATTGAGAATCTCCAGGCCAGGTCTCAGGATGCTCGTGTCTAACTCCTGATGCAATAGGCCCTAAAGCGTGGTTGGAAGATGTAAACAGGAAGCCAAGCACAAGGGGAAACATACTGTTTCATGTAGTATAATCTAACAATAGTTTACAGCTTGGTCTTGCACACTTTCTTGGAGCCCTCCAATTCCCTTGTGAGAGCAAAGAACCACTCTTCTCTCATGTCTCAGGTGAGAAACAGACTCAGAGAAGGGAAGTGATTTTTCCACAGAGCAGAAAGCCAGAGGCAACATCCCTCCTGGGCCCACTTACCTCCCTTCCCATCCGCACAGACATACCCTGACACACTGTGAAGTGCACCTGGGGCACAGGTGAGTCAGATGGGTAACAAACATAATCTGTATGGCTGCACACAGAAAGACAAGCTACTTGCCAGCAGGTCCAGTCTAGCTATAGACCAGCTGTATAGGATTTAGAAGTGCCAAGGGTTGACCTCTTGCAAACCTATCTGTCTTGACTCCAGAGCTGGCAACCAGCCCACTCGCCAAAGTTTCTCTTGCCAGGACTATAGATCCTGATGTTGCTTTTATTTAATAATGTTTTTCCCTCATTATAAAATAATATATTTAATGTAAAATATGCAAAACCCACAAAAGTTTAAAAAGATAAAATGTATAAACTGTTACACTAGGGCTCACTCTTCTCTTTTTTCTTACACAAACTCTTAGAAATCTTGGGATCAGGACTAAGAGTTGAGCTCAATGGCAGACCACTTACCTGGCATGCTTGAGTGCCTAGGTTCTACTTCTAGGACCCCCAACCCCCAACAAAAAAAGAAAAGAAAAGGAAAATGAATCACATCAAACATTGTTTTGGTTGGTTCAGTAATACTGAGATGAAATCCTGGCTCCTCTAAGCATGTGATCAGATTTGGATACATTGTGTATTTTAGAAATCACTCTAAAATACACAATGTGCTGCCAGGGTCAGATAACTGTAGCACCAAGTGAGGATGTCAAAGAAGGAAGCAACTTCAAGGGCTGGATGAAGGGCAAAGGTGGGCACATGTGGGACAAGCTTGGGATCAAGCATAAGTGTGTCTAAAACATGTTTCACTGCACTTAAATTTCACATCTCCCTTCTGTCTGTTCAAACAAGCAAGGCCTGTGATTCCACTTTGTATCTTGGTCTTTTCCCCAAACTACACCCAGGACCTAGTAAACTGCTCACAAAAAGGGCCTAAGGAAAAAGAAGAGAAAGAAAACATCACAGGTTGCTGCTCAGTCCTGAAAACCAAGTATACAGATGTTGACTGACTGAAGTCATTGGTAGCCTGGGGTGGAGACAGTGAAATACTTAAGGTAAGTGATCAGAAAGCCAAATGATGTCAAAGGAAACTTTGTGCTAAGCAGGCTTCTCTGAGGCTCAGGTGGCAATTGTGAGCCTATCTTCTCAACTGTTGCTTTTCACACCCAACTAAACATATTCATCTCTTCAATCAGTTGTTTATAAAACCTCCACCAAGGAAACTTACCAGCTCTGACATAGGCCTTCACCAACAAAAAGGGGAATGTGGTCATGCTGGTGACAGTTAAATAATGGACTTTCCTGTTCTGGGGAAAGCTGGGGAATAGGACGGAGCACAAGATTAGCAACTTCCAGACTTCTTAGGTCCACCTGCAATACTTCCCTCTTCCCTAAGAGGTTCACAGGTGTTCAGCTGGACACAAAGCTTGCTTTTCACTGATGAGTTGACTTGCAGTGACCTGCCTTAGAACACTGGCCTCGGGACAAAACCAACTCTCCTCTTCCTTTCCCTGTAACTTCCAGGTACTGTCTCAGGCACAGAGGGTGCTCTTCAGTGAGAAGTCATGCTCTCTTTTCCACCAAGCAACTGGACGGGGTCCCTGTAACTGGTATGGGATGAATTCCCATTCATAACTCAACCCCAAGACTGCCCCTGACATTCTGAAAGCAGCAACCAATGTGGCTCCTGGGGTCCCACAGGCAGGGTGCTCTTTGGTGCTTTCAACGACAGTTTTTCTCTCTTTAGATGTTCTCATCAGGACTAAAGCAGCCAGGCTGCCAAAGATGGAAAGGGAGTCTGCAGATAGGCACCTAAAAGAATGTGTAGCTGAGCTGGTACTGAAAATGTGAAGGCTGAAGGAGCAAGCTTAGTGGTGTCAGGATCCACACTCCAGAGTAGGCAAGGGGCTTAAGGCCAGCAGGCTCAGGGGACTGGGGCTCCCCACCTAACAGCCTGGACTGATCTGGTCCTACCCCAGTTCATCTTTGGGTCTTGAGGATCTCCCCTTCCAAAAAAAGAACCAAGAAGCCAACATGTCAGAGCACCTCAAGTCCAGCAAGGAAAAAGCCAGTACGGTCTGTAGCCTGTTCCTTCCAAACAACATACAGCAAAAACGGGTGATTATTTGCAAATGAGGGACAAAATGTGTTACTAAAAATTTAAAACCTGTCCATATAGGATCATCTCCCCAAATAGGAAAGGGGGGAAAATAAGCCCCCTTGTTAGCACTCCAAGTTGCCACGACATCCTCCTTCCACTTACATCAAAGCAAGTTTGGAATTGTGTCAAAAACCAAATGTCAGTTAAGTCAAATAATTCTTGGTTATCAAAAAGAGAATTTCTAAAATCAAAAACCCAGAAAACATAAAATTCCTAATGGTACTGCCATGACATCATTTAAGCTCTATAAAGTGATTCTTGTCCATTTTAGAAAGAAAGAGCAGGGGCTGGGGATTTAGCTCAGCGGCATAAGCGCCTGCCTTGCAAGCAGGCGGTTGTGAGTTCGATCCCCGGTACCGATAAAAAGGAAAAAGACAAAAAAAAAAAAAAAAAAAAAAAAAAAAAAAGAAAGAAAGAGCCAAGGTTGCCTTACTGAAACCTGCCAGGGATATGTCCCAGAAGTTATCACCTATCTCTGTTTTACTAGAAATTTGAAGCTATACTATTAAAAAACAACAACAACAGTATATTCGCTTCTGTTTTTCCATTTTATATCCATATAGATGCTATATGACCCAATAGAAAATAACTGCAAAAACACAGTCCTATGAGTTCTAAGTTCAAAATCTATATCCCCATAGTTGTTCCTGGGTACAAGAAGAGACTACCTCTGACACAAAGCAGCAAGTGTCTTATCTGCTGCTATAGGTCAATGGCAGGAGCAAATCCTATATACAGTAAGAAACTTTTTTTGTTTTTGGAGGGGCTAGGGGATCAAATCTAAGGTCTCCTGCATGTTACATAAACACCCTAATTCTGAGCTATATCCCAGTGTGTAAGATGCTTTTTTATCAACAGAAATTTAAATATACATATATATACCAGTATATACACACATCTGTGGATATATAGATGTGTGTACATATATGAATAAACTAGAAATTAACAAAATTGATTATCTTTAGGATGTGAATGGAAGCAATATAAAGGGATAGAAACAAATTCTACAAATGTTTTCATAATATGATTTTTAAATCTAATGTTTTATAAATCCCAAAAATAAATTAGTCACACAATCTTTTGAATATACTAAAAATCATGTAGCCATATAGAAGGGTGAATTTTATGGTAAATGAATTATATTTCAATTAAAAACTAGAAGTCAGTCAATAAAATAAGTCAAAGTCCCAAGACCAAATACAAACTGACTCGATGTTATCATTATGACACAGAAGAAAGGATGAAAAGAGTCCTGTGATTTCTGACTGAAGAACACTGCCTATACACTGAGTGTGTAACAGTCTAACAACTTAACTACAAAGAAATCCTCAGACTATGAACTTAAGATTTAACAACAACCACAAAAAAAAAACCCTGCATCTTAGCCCACCCATTGACAGCTCCACAGATACTCCATGATGATGGGGCTCAGCTATTGGTGCCTCCACACTATCCTCTTAAGGGGAAGCAGACCTTCCTGAAGAAACGGCTGGGATGAGGAAAGTATAAAATGAGCTTGAAGCAGCTTGCAGTGCCAGAAAATAAGAAAGAGCAAAGCTCTTCATAAAAGATCATTTTTTAGCCCAGTGTGGTGGCTCACACTTGTAATCCCAGCAGCTAGGAAGCTGAGGCAGGATCATAGGTCAAAACCAGCCTGGGCTACAAAAGTGAGCCCAAAGTCAGCCTGAACTGCACAGCGATATCCTGTCTCAAAAAGACGAAAGACAAAAAAAAAAAAAAAATCATTTATTAATGTAGTATGATAATTATAAAAACTGCCATTTTAATCACTACTACAATTGATTCAGACAAAAATGATCAATACAAGCTAAAACAAATGGCAGGGCGCAGCACTCGGGAGGCTGAGGTGGGAGGATCGTTGCGAGTTCCAGACCAGCCTGGGCTACAAAGCGAGCTCAAGGCCAGCTTGAACCGCATAGTGAGACCCTGTCTCAAAAAAAAAAAAAAAAAAAAAAAAAAACAACTTAAAAAAAAGGGGTGGAAGGG